CCAAGCTGTGATGCAGTAGCAATGCTTCTTGTTCGAATGCCTTGCTAGACTGTGTGCACTGCAGACTGTGTTCAGGATTCTGACGTAAATACAACCCTCCTAGACTTGTCTCTCAGCCTAGACTCTACACTGTAGGCTGATTTGGCTTATTTGGTTCTCTTGAAGACGTTCTAATTCTGAAGGGGACAATGGTCCCTTCTAGAAGACAGCTGATGTCCAAACACACGCCTCTGCTTAGCCTGAATCTTGAGGTTATAGCTTGAGCCAGTTGAAGTGGCTTCTCATTTTTCTCTCACTCTGACCCCAGGGAGCCCTTTTTCCTCTAGTGATCTAGACCTTTCTCTTCTTATCACAATCTCAAGGATTGTGTCCCAACAGAAGATGCAAAGCCCTGTCTGCCCCTTCCCCTTCCCCTAAGGTAGAGCTTTATCAAAGGTTTCTCTTGTTAAGCATTCGCTTTCTGAGCTGAAGGCTATTTTTTTTTCCTCTTAAGCCCATTGCATAACAATCTCTTGTTTTAATCTTTTGTCGAACACTGCATTTCTTACTGTCAGAGGTTACTACGAGTGTTTGAACAGGTAACTTCTACCTTTGAACTTCTATTGCGACAGGTTCAAAGGTTCCAGGGGAACGTGTTGGCCACTCTCAGGATAGTACGCAAGTAACTTCAGGTGTGTCCCAGTCCCAGGAGTTGCAGAAAGAGTAGAAGTGCCTGAATGCTGCTGAACTAATACAGCCAGCTGCGAGGGGAGCACTTCCTGGACCCAGGAAGTAAGAGCTTTCTTCCAAGGTAAGCTGTGATAATATTACCTGCTCTATATTGAATGTATCTGTGAGATAGTGGGGATGGGGCAGTATGGGGAAAGAAGGTGAGATGTGTTATGCTCAGCCTAAGACTCTTTTAGAAGATGAAACTACATTTAGTTGAGTAATAATCTCAGCTGACTTGTGTGGGAGGCAAAGAAAAAAAAAATCAGTTGGAAAGGGAGTGGAGACATATGAGCTGGGGATGGAATTGGAAGGGAACGCCGATTTCACTAAGTGTACTAAAGCACACAAAGCCAGGATGTGAGTCTCCTTCATCTTCCATTAAGAAATCTCTGTCTCGGTGTAGTTAGAAGGACCACCCATCAGCTGCTGAGGGCAGAGAGTTCCATTTGGAAGAGAGAAGGGGAAGGGAATCAGCAGATACTCAGTTAGGTGCTGGGGGCTGTTCTGGGTAGATGATGTTTGCTACTTCGGGGTGTAGCTCATCCTCTGAGGCAGCTGGGTGTCATTCCCATTTCACAGATGCATAGTGCGTCTCCGGGCTATCAAACAGCATGGCCTAAGCTACATAGCTCGGAGGTGGTGTGGCTAGAATCTGAGTCTTGATCAGTCAGTTTCCACAGCCTGCTCAACAATGCAGAATTCTTATGGGTTGCCACAACTTCCAGTTACCCCCTGAAATCCTGAGGGTGTCACTCATGTGCACAGAGGGTTGATAGGAGTACAACTCTGATGGGCCTTTAGAATGACCCAAGCTTCCTGAACTTGAGCATTTTTATTGGAAGAGACCAGTTAAAAAAAAATAAAGCCTCATCTTCTCCTGGCCCTGAGCCCTGAAGGTAAACAGTGCCCAGTGAAGGGCCCAGGGACGTGAGCATGACTGAGATGCGACACCCCCTCTGCCATCCTCTGCTCTCCTCTGGAGGAAGTTGCCTTTTGGGGAGCTGAGTTCCTGAAACTAAGCAAAAGCCAAGTGCTCATTCAGCCGTGAGATGAGCCAGAGGATGGAACACTGCAGACTCCCCTTCATCTTCCAGTCCATCTTTCCCCCCTCTCCTAAGGCAGCTCCCCCTTGGCCAAGGGCTCAGCTCTTGTGTTCTCTGAGATTGTGGCATGGCTCACCCTGGCTTCCTTAGCTGAAGGCTTTTAAGACCTGCTCTGTAGAAAGAACAAGCCCTAATCTAGCTCCAGGAAGGAGCCAGGCTCAGGCTAAACTTCCTGTGAGCTTCGGTGGGGGATAGAGGCTGGGGAAAGTGCCACTTAATTCTGAGGCATCTGTGAGGTGGGAAAGCGGTGGGAAAATTTATGTCTGCTTCCTAATCTGAGAATGGCAGCTCCAGGGCCCCTCTGTGGCCACAGCCTTAGGCGGATCAAATGAGACTAACATAGGTCCTGGTAACACTGGGGGTTACCAAGGTGGCAGAATCAATTTTTAAGTTAAGTTTTGAAGAGTGAATGTGTCAGAGGGAAAGGAATCGTGCCAATCCATCGGCTTACTGTCCTGCCATTCCTGTCTGGCTTGTTTATGTTCTTGGCTTTGTCAGAACTGCTTCAGGGACTGAGACAGGCAGCTCTGGGGGCTGGAGAGAGGGGTAGAAGGTCTTTGGGTGGATCTGACGGCTGAGGTGCCCTCTAACCAGACATGCCTGTCCTCCAAATCAGTCCAGCAGGGAACAGCGTCGCCTCTGACTCTGTGATGCTGCTGATCTGGGAGGCCCCTCAAGTCATTTCAGTTTGGTTTTTTTTCGTCTTAGTTGAAAGGTTGTTGGCCACAGGAGGATGGGGCGAATTGTGTGGATGAAGCTGGCGTTGGGATCGGCCCTTAGGGGCTGGGGTAAAAGGCTTTGACACTGAGCCGGGTAGCTTTGGCGGCTTCTCCCCTTCTGCTCAGAACACTTCCACTTTCAGTTGTGAAAAAAAAAAAAGCAAACCAGGAAGTGAAGTCCCCGAGCACGTTAGAAAGCCTGACATGGCCTGACTCGGGACAGCTCAGAGCGGGGCAGAACTGGGGACGCTCTGGACCACCCTTCTGCCTGCATGGATGCTCCAAAGCCACCCTGTCTCTGGAGGAACCGGGAGTGAGGGAAGAAGGGCAGGGAGTGGTGTGCCAGGAAGAACTCGGAGCCAGGAAGCCCCCGTTCTCTAGAAGCACTGAGAGATGCGGCCCCCTCACAGGGTAAGGGAACCATCCGGGGGTGTTATTCAGCAACGGGGTCTTGGGGGCATCCTGACCCCCGACCTCTGTGAAGTGATTTAGAATCGAGGGCTGGCTGTGTTCCATGGGCACACCATGCTCTCTCCCTGCTGGTCTCCGGTTTGCCTTCAGACCCCGCCTCAGGAGGGGCAATAGGAAGGAGGGATATGGGGCATGAATGGGCCACAATTTCCTTCTCCCACCTCTCTTGGGGGAGGTGAACCACAACAGAGACCTCTTTTTAGGGGTCTGAGCTCCCCTGAGGTGGGCTGGGGGTTTGCCCTCAATTTTTATATTGGACAAGACTGATGAATGAAACTGATAGGTTGTGAGAGATGGGTGAATGAAGCTGGATATATTTTAGGGGGTAGGGCACTGGTCAAGCCTCAGGTGCTGCTTAATTCCTAAGTACTTCCTTCCCAGTGCCCCCTCTCTGAAGGTCCTAAGGTGAACTTCAAAGACCCTCAGGGAGTAAGTACTAGAATGGGACTCTACTGCTGGGGCTTGGTGCCTACTAAGATATCGACCATTTTTTTGGTGGTCTGAAAGGTAGAATTGAATCTACAGCTTCAATGTGCAGGGGATTGGTATTCTATATCAGAGGCAAGATCTTAAAAAATGACATTAAGCCCGGCCGTAGTGGCTCACGCCTGTAATCTCAGCACTCTGGGAGGCCAAGGCAGGTGGATCACCTGAAGTCAGAAATTAGAGACAATCCTGGCCAATGTGGTACCCTGTCTCTACTAAAAATACAAAAATTAGCCAGGTGTGGTGGTGCATGCCTGTAATCCCAGGAACTCAGGAGGCTGAGACAGGAGAATTGCTTGAACCTGGGAGGCAGAGGTTGCAGTGAGCTGACATCGTGCCACTGCACTCCAGCCTGGGCAACAGAGTGAGACTTTGTCTCAAAAACAACAAACAAACAAAAATTAAAAATTGACTTTAAAAAAAAAGGGAGTAATCGGGTTTTGCTTTTTTGTTTTTTTATTTTTTTTTTAATACGGAGTCTCACTCTGTCACTCAGGCTGGAGTGTAATGGCGTGATCTCAGCTCACTGCAACCTCCGCCTCCTAGGTTCAAGTGATTCTCCTGCCTCAGCCTCCCGAGCAGCTGGAACTACAGGCAGGTGCCACCATGCCCAGCTACTTTTTTATATTTTTAATAGAGATGGGGTTTCACCATGTTGGCCAGGATGGTTTTGATCTCTCGACCTTGTGATCCACTGGCCTCCACCTCCCAAAGTGCTGGGATTACAGGTGTGAACCACCACACACAGCCGGAGTAATTGGTTTTGTTTATTTCTCCCTCCATATTCTGATATGGAGTTACTCTGTGGTGGTCCCCTCCGATTGATCAGTATTCGAGGTACACACAGGACATGTCTTGAAAGAGACATGGTGTAAATTTTGTAGGCATCTCTTGTGTATTTGGCATAATAAAAGGAACAAAAACCTAAATAAAACAAGAAGTATAAGTGCAAATGCTTATCGGACAGGCAGGTAATATAGGGAAGTAAAGTAGATGGTGTATGATAAGATGCTAATTTAGAAAAATTCAGAGTAGGCAAACCCCAGATAAATTCATTCAAATTTAATTATTTTTTAAAAAAAACACATGGCCAGGCTTGGTGGCTCACACCTGTAATCCCAGCACTTTGGGAGGCCCAGGCATGCAGACCATGAAGTCAAGAGATCAAGACCCTCTGGCCAACATGGTGAAACCCCATCTCTACTAAAAATACAAAAATTAGCCCACGTGGCGGGACAGGCCTGTAGTCCCAGCTACTCAGGAGGCTCAGGCAGGTGAATTGCTTGAACCTGGGAGGTGGAGGTTGCAGTGAGCCGAGATCGTACCACCACACTCCAGCCTAGGTGATGGAGCAAAACTCTGTCTCAAAAAACACACACAAAAAAACACCTTTTAATCCAGACCAAATAGAATGTTTCAGCCAAGCATTTGGCTAGGTCCTGGCCTAAAATAGTCTCTCCCAGGCTATATTATAATTTCTTGAAGGCAAAGACACCAACAACAATATCAGTGTATCATTACATATCTAAGCGTCCCACATACAGTGAGACCACAGATACAGCAAGGAGGCTGGAGGTGGAGGAAGGAGAGAGGAATTAATGGAAAGAGGGAAGATCCCGCAAATAGTAGGTACTCTTTTTTTTTCATTTTTTTTTTTTGAGAAGGAGGCTTGCTCTGTCACCCAGGCTCCCAGGCTGAAGTGCAGTGGCGAGATCGGGACCCACTGCAACCTTTGCCTCCCTGGTTCAAGTGATTCTCCTGCCTCAGCCTCCCAAGTAGCTGGGATTACAGGAATGCACCACCCCGCCCAACTGATTTTTATATTTTTAGTAGAGACAGAGTTTCACCATGTTGGCCAAGGTGGTCTGGTCTAGAACTCCTGACCTCAAGTGATCCGCCTGCCTGGGCCTCCCAAAGTGTTGGGATTACAGGTATGAGCCAGCACACCTGGCCTATGGGATTTGCCAACTTCTTAGAAACCAGGAATACAGTGTCTGCTCCTGTCCGTCTCCCCTCAGCAGATGAGTGGACCCTCAGGTGGAGTGCAGCCAGAACTGACTCTTGTGCCTGGCAGCACCTGGCAAGAGTGAGGCAACCCCAGCAGCCGTGAGTCCAGCCATTACTGGTTATCACGTTCTGCTAAAATATATCTGGGTCTGTTTCTCCCCTATATGTCCGCACAACCTGAGGTCAGAAAGGAACTCTCTCACCAGATCTTCCCCCTGGCGCAGGGCCCTGACACTTTCTAGGTTCTCAACTCATTGTTTGAATAAATATATGAGATTTGGTGTTTGGAAGGTCAAACAGCCCATGCACTGCTATGGTCAGGCTATAATATATCAGCTTTCTTTAGGGGAGCTGGTAGATTTCCCAGTCTTCATGGGTCATTCTATTCTAAGAGTTGTGAGATTGTGAGTGGCTGAAGTTGAGGATGTGGGGGCTGGGGGACAGCAAGGTCGGAGACAGGCCATGGCTCCTACAACTAGAAGCACTCTGTTTAAATAGAAATGAGGACTTGTTGGCCAAGAGCACTGGCTCACGCCGGTAATCCCAGCACTTGGGGAGGCTGAGGCAGGCAGATCACCTGAGGTCAGGAGACTGAAACCAGTCTGGCCAACATGGTGAAACTCCATCTCTGCTAAAAATATAGAAATTTGCTGGGCATGGTGATGGCCACCTGTAATCCCAACTACTGGGGAGGCTGAGGCATGAGAATCACTTGAACCTGGGAGGCAGAGGTTACAGTGAGCTGAGATTGTGCCACTGCACTCCAGCCTGGGCAACAAGAGTGAAACTCCATCTTGAAAAAAAAGAAAAAAAAGAAGAAAGAAAGAAAAAGAAAAACGACGGCTTGTTAAGACCTTTGCCCAGAAGTGGAGGGGCAGTAATCATACAAGACCGTGATTACCTCTTCTCTTTTGGGATGTCTCATAAGAGAACATCTGATATTGGCAGGGATGTGAAAACTGAGGAAAAGGGAACTAGACTTGATTGAGGACTTCCCATGCGCCTGACAGCATACCAGCAGTTCTACACACAGCGTCCCATTTAAGTAGCACTTTTCACCTGCTGCTTCTGTATGCAGTGGTGGGAACTGATGCTCAGTGGCTTTAAGTAACTGCCCCAGGGCTACACACGTAGTAAGGAACTGTTGCTGTGATACCTGGAGGGGCGTTGCCTTGAAGGTTTGTCCCTGGAAATGATACCATTGGCAATAAAGCTCATGGTCTGTACTCTGAACCTGTTGACCCCTGGTTGGGACAGCAGTGCAAGGGCTGAGTCTGCAGAGAACCACGGCAGGAAGGCCTCTTTCCCAGCCTCGCCTCACCCTGGCACAGGTGACAGGGTCCGAGCACTTTGTCCGGCCTATCTTTCTACAGACCCCCTTATCAGATGCAGTAGACTTCTGATACTGCTTCCTCTTACTCTCATAATTCACTTGGTCAGCAGCAGGCCTGGGATGCCCTTTGGGGTTGTTACTGACAAAAGTTGTCCCGGGGTCGGGATTTGAGGTGGAGGTTGCAGTGAGCCGAAATGGTGCCACTGCACTCCAGCCTGGGCAACACAGCCTGACTCTGTCTCCAAAAAAAAAAAAAAAAAATCCCCCTGCTGTACCCCCAATTCTCTTTCCCTGCTCTTGTTGTTGTGGTTTTTATTGTTCCATAATACCTTATAATCTAGTTATTGCTCAGGCTTGTTGTAAAACTCCCCAGTATAATACAGTCTCATGAGAGCAAGCTTTCTCCTGCTACATCCACAGCACCTGGAAAAACACCACATTTATAGCCAAGCCCTTCAGTAGCTTTTGGATGAATGAAGGAGTAGCCAAGACTTTCAAGGAATCCAGTCATGATGTCTCCTCTTCCATCTGTCTTCTTCTTGTTTTATGTTTTGTTTTTGAGACAGGGTCTTGCTCTGTTGCCCTGGCTGGGGTGCAGTAGGGCAATTATAGCTCACCGCAGCCTAGACCTCAAGTGATCCACCCACCTCAAGCTCTCAAGTAGCTGGAACTACAGGCAAGCACCACCACAGCAGGCTAAGTTTTGTATTTTTTGTAGCGTCAGGGCCTCACCGTGTTCCCCAGACTCATCTCGAACTCCTGGGCTCAAGCAGTACACCTACTTCGGCCTTCCAAAGTACTGAGATTATAGGCGTGAGCCACTGCACCCAACTTCCATCCCTCTTTTTCTATGAGGGTGATCTTTTCAGAAACATAAATGCATAGATAATTCGTTGCAACTGAGAAGATAATGTACACGCTGTCCAAATACTGTTTTCTTTCTCTCTGGCGGTACATCATGAGCTCTTTTCGTGTCGGTACCTACAAATCAACTTTCTTTTTAAAAATACCTGCCTAGAATTCCATTGTGTGAAATTACTGTAATTTGTTTCATTGTTCTCCTATCAAGGAAGGCTTTCCTAGACTTTTGGATTAGAAACAGTTCTATGGCTTT